TATATATATACATTTGCATGCATATGTGCAGCTCTAACTTTTGGCCTGAAAAAGGCGCAACAGAGGTCTAACTTTGTTTCAGTCGCCCGGCTCTGCTAAATTGAATTTCCTTACTGGTGGAATACACTCGTTTGCATGGCTGGAGTAATGAGTTGTTTCAAGAAACAATACCGCATTATTTCGTGTACCACAACAAATAAAAAACTAGACGTTTTTTGCACATGGAATTCAGTTGGGGAAAATTATGAACTTGAAATTCAGCAGAGAGTTATTTGAATTTTGCATTAGAACCAAATCAGCGTAAAGCTTGGGCTAAAGCAGAACACCGTTTGACCGAAACTCGCCCACGTGATGAATAACAGGAAGGATGAAACAAATCATGTATGAAACATTTTAGCCAACTTATGAATATTGTTTTCCGAATAGATAATAATATTTCTCATCTCTTATACACACAGTTGTTGATTAAGTGGATCTGTGAAGAACGCAACTCTTATATCGTTTAAGCCCTAGCCTTTAATGCTTTAATTGACAATATCCGCCAAATGGCTCCAATTACCGCATTATGACCAACATTCATTCAGGTTAGTGGGCCACATGCCTCACACAACCACGAAATCCGTCGTATTCCATGATTCAGTATCTCGATCGTTATGGAGTGAAAATCTCAAACGTATTAACCGAAAGAAAGGCTAGAACAGACTCTGCTTCTGCTTTCATTAACAATGAAACGGCACGTTTTGTCCGTCAGAACTTTAAACAAGTAATTTATTTTTCCTCCGACTTAGCACGATAGCTAGCTCAATTCTGCCGAACAATACTTTCCTTTCTGTGCCGTTTTCAGTGAGGATCTCTAACCAGTATACCGCAACAAATGTCAGTTACAGATAACATCAATAGTGAATACTGAATAGCAGGCCACGCCCTTTTTAAGTCAAATTGTTGAGTGCTATTCTACCTAGTTAACAGAACCGATTTTCTTAACTGATTCATATGACTTAGGTTGGCGCCATTGTTTTTTTGCACATTAAGAAAGATATGGTTTTGCTTCTCAGTAGATATATTTAATGACTGGCAAAACTGTTTCGACTAATCGGTGTTTACTATGTAGATCACCGACTTCACTTTTGAGGATCCGTAGTTCACCAAAAGGCCTACATAAAACCACAGATTGATAACAGGATACCTGTGTGAGTGATCTGAAACCCGAATCCGGTTTTATTGAGCAACTGAGCAATTTGTCATTGTTTATTAACGTGCGTGAATTTAGTTTTAAAATCTGCTTGATATCAAATCCCAATTCAGAATGTCAACTAAAAACTAATCCTTGTTTAGATGTTGGTCTTCTGATTGGTGGGTCCGCCTGATCCTCTCTGTTAATAACTGTACACTCGCACCATTGTCTTCAAACCTTCATTACATGTCATCAGGAATATCCCAGATATGATATTGTGAGATGGCATGATCTGACTTAACATTCCAAAGTTTATTTCGGTAACTCGGCTAAAGCGACTTGCCTAAATGGCCAGGGAAATGCCCAAAAGGGTGGCAATCGCTTGTTTAACCAGATAGATGGATAGCACGTTCAAGCACGAAACAAACCAACTTCTGGCTGTGAAGTTAGTTTGACCTCCTCGCTGAAGGTTTAGTTCGGGCTCATCATGCTACTTGTTCTTGGCTATTAAATTACGGTACTCCGGATATCAAAGCGGGAGGCCTTTATACACCTCTTTCGATCGTTCTAACACCGATTACAGTGAACTCAACCACACCGCGTCCTACAAAACAAGAGCGTGTTGGACCAGGATAGCCAGGGTCGAATTCACTCTGGTAATTTCGAACACCTTGATCACTGGTTGAGTTTCGAGAGACAGGTGAATATCGGTCACATTTGATTCATTGGCCCAGACATATTCACTCGCTCTATTTTCAATAGTGCTTGCATATGACACGATGAACCAAAATCGATGATAAATGATTGATCGAATGCTTCGGGAAAGAATATTCAAAAGTTTTGCCTGACAGTGTGGTAGTAACAACTACTCTACCGGACCAAATATACTACTACTACTATTACTAATAACCATTCAGCTGTAACAACTTTTCGGTGCATAGCTTTCATGCCAACCAAAGAAAGTACGAGACTTGAGGTTATGATGATGAGGCAGCAGTGGTCGAGATCCTCATGCTGGTTCAGAAACACAGAGATTCGGGGCAAGCAATTTCACACCTTACCTAAGAGCTAACTTCAGTCCGAACGGGGCTAGTTGTAACCTCAAAGTTCCGTCTGAATTTTACCGCACTAATATGAACAGGCCGCTGTGCATTGGTCGGTCACCAAGAACAGTATGTCAGAAATAGGTTTTTGATTGAGTCTGTATTCATTTTTGCGTTAGGCCAATGCACACCCCATAAATATTGACACTTATGGGACACAATATCCCAGTTATCCATCTTATTTGAGCTAACTGGCTACATTATCCTTTCACATTCTCAGGTAGAGAACTAAATCATGCAGGTTATATGAATATAGAGTTAAAGAGCACTGAACAGACATTGATTTTTGCAAGTCATCTGATCAAATAATCCCAGCTTATTTGATTTGATCAGCAGCGCATGCTAACAACTAAGACATTGTGGTTGACGGGGTCAAACAGATGGTCGGTACCCAACACGGTACCCAACGTCTGGTTGCTGACGAAGCAGGATTGTAATTTGACATCTCACCCGATAGTTTTCCTAACAATATCTGAATAACGTACTCTGGACTGTATTGTACCGCAGGTTAAGCTAAGGATCTCCTTGTACTGCCGATGTAACCACCTCGTTGGATGTAGGGGAACTCGTGAAAGCCGTAAAGGGCAGTTAGATTATACAACCTCAGTTGATGTATTTGCTCAGCAAATACTTTTGTGGTCAATGTGAGATGTAGGTGGACTGCAGTATAAACAGATTTTTTAAGGCACAATAGGGCTTTTAGCAGTGTCAACTCGACCACCCTTGAACTGAAGCAACACGTAGATCTTCCTTGTTTGTTGAATGTCTGTACAGTTTTTTAAATTACTCGGATGCTTCGCGTTTATCCAAAAAGCGGGCTGGGTTCCAGACCAGTCTCCCGTCAAAACCGAACTGGTAGGTAAATTAGTGTATTTCACTAATTTACTGCAACTTGACTTCAATTAAAAAAATAGTAGGGTTGACGGAAAATCGGAGATTGCGCCTACATGATAAGCCCCAAGAAGGGCGAAACCGTTCGTGGGCTTTCAAACAGCTTTGGACAACCATACGAGTAGTGTATTACGTCCATACATTGTTTTCTTGTTTACGAGAAGGGGCCGTGTTGATATATGCTGGTGAAGCGTAACCTCTTCGGGCAGCAGAGCTGAGTCCCCGTCAGGTCTCCGACAACCGTTGCCTCAGATACGTAACTCATGAGACGTGTTGGCTAACCTTAATCAAGCCAACTGAAGAACGAGTGTTCGATTGTGCAGAGGGGACTTCAGTCGAATAATGTTTTCAAAACCATAAACTGAGGAGGTCAAGTTTCGTATCCCACATCACCTTCTATAAACGAGATTGCCCTGTTCCGTGCCCCAGTCAAGGTGAAGGCAGAGAGATGGTCAACCACTGAACTGACAGAAGGTTATGAAAGGGATTATGAAAGTCTGGATGCTGTTGCCATAACTAACCTCCCAGGATGTGGTCTGTGTGACACCCGCTGTGAATGGTTGGAAACTGCGATTAGTATCACTGGCGTTTATTCCTCAGTTTCAGTCAGGGGGTTACCGAATGTGTGTCTAGAAATGTAGGCGTTTCGGAATGTTTGTAGCAAGCTATCACTTTACTCTTTTGTTCACAATAAGCATTTTGAACAAAGTATGGTAATAAGGCAGCTAAGTGTGAGCGTTGAACACTGGTGTCATGCTACCGATGACCATGCTGATATAAAAGTGTATCCTCTAAGAGGATATCATTCCGAAATGTTTATGTGATTCACACAGCGTAGGCTGATTAGCCACTTTGGCAACAAAACGGCCGAAGCTGAAGGGAAACCTGCTGCAACGAGTTAGGCACGAGTTTTTCACGATGTTCTAATTTGTGAGACAGCCGATATCACGTAGCTCTCTGCTATTAATTTTATCATTTATTTCTTCTAACACGAGAAAAGTAGGCTTCTGCGTGCAACGCATCTCACTACGATAACCACTACATCTTTATCGTGCGCACAAACGAACGCACGTGCGAATACAAACTGAATTTGATACATCAAGCATTTATCAAAATCATGACAAGAGAGCAATACCATCTTTTCATACTCATCATCGTAACAAGGAGAGACAAGTTGCTAGAAGAAACATATGACTCTTATATCCCATCGGCTGTTGAAGGCAACTGAGCTGAAATCTAGATTAGTGAATCATGCCCATAGCCTAAATACCTTAGCTCAGCCAGATCTGAGGTTTGAAGCGCATTGGTCGCTCTAATTTTGCTAGTATAGGGGTGTTTACCCATCTTAAAATCTAACCGTTATCTTGCCTCGACCTCCATGATGAAAGTGTGCAAATTGTCTCCGATAATACTTGTTACTCTCCTGAAATGTTTCATGCGGTAGAGAAGCCTAGTAAATTCTAGATGACTACATATTTGTAAGTGGATTCGAAGCTACCCCATCTGCAGACAAAGAATTATATCGTTTGGTATTTTCCTGTAGTTTGATAGAGTTTTCCGGCAATAGATTAATTAGTACAGCTGGACATATTCTGGGAAATAAATGATGACAAAGTGGAAAAGGACAAACCAGTAATACATCCCTGAACATGAAGCAATACGCCGCGCGTACAGTGTTCAACTACAACCATGTCCTGTATAACAGACGAGAACCATAATCCGAATAACTAGGACTTCATCGATCTAGCCTGAACAGGAGTGGTGTAGACACCTCTCGACTGGTGATCAGCACAGTTTGATGGAAAACCTGTGTCCGGCTGGCGGAATGTAGAAGCTAATCTGGGTGAGAATCCCGATAATAACGCTTCGATTTTCAAACGGCTAACGTCTTCTCCCAACTGCATATTAGACTGTCCATTCACACAGTGCACAGAACAATATATGAACCGTTACTCAGTGGCACCCACTGCAAGCAGAATATGATATATTTACACTCAGAGTTGCTACGAAATTTCCGGTATTTTAGCCGATTTATAATGTGTGAGTGCACGTTGCTGGGAGAAGTGCATTACCACGAAGGCAAGAAAATAATCCAAAGGGAGCCGATGGTTTTTTGAAATATTGTTTGTATAATGCTTCAAAGTAGTTCTAGATGTGTTGTGATTTGCTGGCGTCCACAGTGTAGACATTTGCTGATCTGTGAATTGTCGAAACCAATCCTTGGCAATCAAATCTAGATATGATATATAGTACGAACAAAACGGCTACAATACCGGAAGAACTGGCAGTTTCCACCAGCTGGGACCGCTCCTTTTTTGGTGAACACTATAGTTGGGTGCGTTTCACTTATTTCGTGATGTTTTATGAGGAGATGAGTACTTAAAGCCATGTTACGAAGTGCAGTAACGCGACACTAGATGGTGGAAGCAAACGCCCAGATATTGCGCGCCTGATGAACAGCTGATCCATCTTGTTGATCTTTTTTTATTCTGGGTTACGAAGAACGTTCAAAGCTGCTTCACATTGAGGAGCTTTTTGGCTTGAGAGAGATTAAAGTAGCTAGCATCGTAAAAATTAGTCCAGTTCAGAGAAAATCCTCGCCTATAAATTCTACGCTTAGCTAGGCTACCCTGATATTAACTAAAAAACATACTTGTCGAAGCAGGCTTCGAGGAAGACTGCTGTGTGCGTTAGGCTGTTGTTATTCCACCTACATAGGTCACTATACCCCTTGTGTTTGTTTGCGTACGATTTTGCCGTGCGTGCTTTTGCCTGAACGTTTCCAAATAATATAAGATCAGTATGTTTTCACTATTTACCTCCTGTAAATGAAGCGAATCTATTTCGAAAATCCCAGAAGTTGCGTACAGCTTTTATATCCTTACTGTAAATAATCGGCTGTTTTATCCTCACCAACATTTGGGATAATTCAAATCCGTACCTTCCATGCTAGTAGAAGGAGACTAAAGCGTTCGGTCTCAAAGGGCTGGTGAGTTGTAGTATCAGCTGGCATTTCGATTACGGAAAACACATCGACTGACCACATGTTAATTGGCTGCTCGAGCAAAGCGTTCTCCAATGGAAGTTTTACTCATCGTCTGATTTGGTATTTATTCGAGGTAATCCATATTTTTTTGTGTTTTAATCGAATAGACTTATCGATGTAATCGTGGATAGGAGACAGGTCCGGCACTCTTTGTCACAAAGGTACCCATCTGCAGTCGCGCAAAACAGATGTAATCGGGATAGGAGACAGGTCCGGCACTCTTTGTCACAAAGGTACCCATCTGCAGTCGCGCAAAACAATTGATCGTTTCAACTATAAGCCACTCTGATCCACGATCAAACACGGTTACCGAATTCTTCAGAGCCCACACATGAATAAGCGAGTATGTATTTTTCAATACATTCCATTTGCAATGGTTAGTGTGGAATCACTTCGTTTGCAGTAGAGCAGGTATGCCCACAATCGTGTGACGAATGTCAATGCTGTTCCTTCATAAGCAGTATTTATTTTTGTACAAGGATTTGTCCGGAATCCCTTTTGCTTTTTCTAAGTTTGGTCGCCAGATCGGCGAAGTGCCGCACCAACCGAAATGCCAGCTGATATTTACGACTAATCTGTACGACGTTTGTTGGTTTTGTGCGCCAAATATACTTCCCGTACACCACATGATATCAGAGTTCATGCCTAATGTGGTGCGTACAAAAGATCTTGCTGTCAAATTTGTATAGTCAGGTATCCCTGTGCAGTTGGTTCGTCGTTACTGAATTTGATCAGTATTGTGCATCACAACAATCTGTGAACTTACTTGGACACATGATTTATCGACTAGCAGCTCAACATTATGCAACCCAGTCAGGAGTGGCTGTGTGATAAACGAGGGCTGATTTTCAAGCGCACTACGCACCTCACTCTCAGTGGCGTCTCTTACGTGACGACGTTCAGATGCATGGTTCACAGGACAAACAGGATTTCTCACGTCTGAGAGATTTCTTAGTTTGTAGTGAGGACAGCAGTAGAACTAAACACTGGATGACAATGTTCTCGTCACACTTGAACCATCAGGAGTGGGTGATAAACGAGGGCTGATTTTCAAGCACACTACGCACCTCACTCTCAGTGGCGTCTCTTACGTGACGACGTTCAGATGCATGGTTCACAGGACAAACAGGATTTCTCACGTCTGAGAGATTTCTTAGTTTGTAGTGAGGACAGCAGGTAGAACTAAACACTGGATGACAATGTTCTCGTCACACTTGAACCAAACACAAGCAACTAAAAACAACACTTTTAACTAAACATGTCATGCAGTATACTGATCGTTTTTTTTTTCGAAAAAAAAACACTCTTTAACAAAACCTAATTACTAACTCAGCATTTTGAACTGTCCGTTGTTCAAGAACCGTGCATTGCTTTTGTAAGTAATGGCCAAATTTCATTCATTACCGCCGAATATGTAGTTCTCTCACAGTTAACCAAAAAGTACATTCTTCCGTTATCGACTAGTCAACGAAATGTCTTTATCAACCGTTTGCTATCTGGTGTACCAAATACTGGATATTTCGACCTCATTGATCGACAAAAGCCTAAGGAGATGAGGCACTATCCTTGATTTGACCAGAATACACACGTTCATCTTTAGTATACAAGATCACGTATCTGGTTTCCAAACCAAGAAAATGCTAGAAGTGTTATTTTGCAAGAGGCTGATTTGTTCTGGTATTGTGCACTAGCAGGCTGAGTAAGGGGGTGGTCTACCCGACGGCAAAAGTTTGATATTCATTGGGGTTGGATTAAAAACGCATTTCTCATTAGATTCCGATCGGATTTCAAACCATCCAGATGAACGACCTCATCGGTGTGTGGGGCCACAGCCGGGAAGTCTTACAAAGACGTAGAACTAAGGTGGATTTATTACCTCAACTAAAGTGTTGAAGATTTCTATCACGCAGTCGATCATATCCCAGCTTACCTCTCCTTCTGCTTAAGTTCCTAATGAGACCAGTATGAAATTAGCCTCACTAAAATTGCGGCAGCCAAGCAAGAAATATGCGATTGCTTTAGCTGCGCAGTAACTTTCTTTGGACTGCCGTTCACAAAGTTTTACCCGTGTGTATTCACCAGAACCTATAAATTTGGGAACCTTTCTAGAGCAGTCATCGTAACCGAATTATTGTTTTAACTCTATTGATAATTGATGTCAATAAAAACGGGCAAAACTATCAACTTTAAGGGACAGTTACTGCTGAAAAGTTACATTTTCAAATAAATTTCTATGTGATATGAATTTGAGTCACGTTTAACTCACTGTGCGAAAATAAAAGTCCTAAGAACAAGCAGTGAAATCACATTGCGTTTTGGGGTAGTTAAGTGATGCCTGTCCACGATGAGGGAAATATTTTGAAGCGCTTAAATAAGACGGTACTGCGAGATCTGCCTCTGAGTTTTGATGCTTTGTGAGCAAACCCTAAAAGCTTTTAACTGGTATACAGGCGGACTGTTGTAAGGTTGATTCAGCTGATGCTGCCAATATCGGTAATAAATGAGCACCAAGCGACACTTAGTCTTAAAACGAAGAAACATACAACCTTGTTGGGTGGATAACCTGTGGAAAATGCTGATATAACGATACATACAAAGTTTGTGTTGTGCATCTGTAACCTCGTAAAGAAAATAGATGTGTAGATCCTCCTTGCATGTTTGTAACATTTTTGATCTATCAGCTACGCTGGTTATTTCGCTTCATGCATGACTGAAAAATGTTTGCTCACTAGACCGAAACCATTTTGTTCATGTTTATCCTTAAAAGTGAAAAGCGGCATAGACCGATCGATCAATGGGATTTTTCTCCGAACCCACGTAACAGTGAAGACAAAGACGGGATTCGCTTGAAGGTTAGAGTACAACAGTTTATCGGTCACCCTCGTCCAAAAAGTAAATGGCAATAAATGAAACAAGTTGCAGTCTTTCTCAGTGGAATATACTGACAAGTCTCTCAAAAATAATGAGAATAATAAAAATGCAATGTATCAATGAACGCTTTCATCCGACTAGAAAAATCGGCCATTGCTCTACCTGCTAGCTTCATTTTGAAGCCAGGTAAATAATAAGACATCTGAGGCACAAGGTTGAGAAACCATCCTATAATAATAATATTCGTCCAGCTGTAACATCATTTCGATGGAAATCTACCACACCACCAGATGGAAGCCCGAAGCCTAAGGTTCTCCCGGGTCGCCCACAGGAGCGGTCAGTGATGAGGCTAGATTCAAACCACGGGACTTTTGGTTAGTACTTCGTGTCTTAGAAACTGAACTATCCTAAACGCAAAATATGAAAGCCGATGAAGCGTAAAGCATCTCAGCCCAGATAGCGTAACCCTCGAATTCCGGTTTGGTCAGAAAAGCAAGCTACAAGTTATCAGTTAGGCGACCAGCAGACACGGAATGGTCAAACATCGTGAGAAAACTGTGCACCAGCCGTATGGTAATCCAGGTAGTTGATTTAGGCAGATTATGTTAGACAAACCACTTGCTGAAGCGAATCTGGATGAAAGCGCTCTGACAATCAATTATGTTTTCGGTAAATCTATGTGCCATAGATGTGTGCGTACGACCTAAGACCGGGTAAAATAAGCTTAATATTTTCGATGCAATTAGGACATTAAAGTCATTTGTACGTTGCTCCAAGCTCCTTCTTCTCCGATGCGCAATTGTTGTTTGCGGTTTTACTTGGAAGGAATAAATTATTCCGGTCAGCTCTCAGATTAGACGCCCTTGTCATCCGTAATTTCAGCTAACTGAGGGATCCTCATCACATCTGATTGGTCAGCTCCGTATATGTGACTGTATTAGAGGAGTTGTCTTCAGCCGGGTGCAGTTCAAGGCTAACATATGCTCACTTTATAAATATGTAGCTCCGTAGATCGCCGTCTCTCCCTTCTTTAGAAGCTAGGCGTAAATGTCTTTTTATTATTATCGTACAGCCAAAAACCAATATCTCAGTCTTCTCTAACGGGAGTTTTCAAATTGACGAGATATTTTTCTCAACGAAAGCTTGTCTCTGTGTCTCAAGATTTTCGAGCTCTTAGAACTTTTGCTTAACGGACATTAGAAATAAACACAAAGGTGACTGGATGTCCTGTCCCATGTGTACACTACAATATTTGTGTTCAATAATCTGGAGAATTTTGTGAAGAATCCATAAGGTTTTCTTAACGTGAAATGCCAAAGCGGCAGGTGACTGCTCTCGCGACCAAACTACAATCGTAGTGTTTTTGGCGTTGTTGATGTTGGTAGAATGAACACTGAGATGCTTGGGCAGAAAAGGTACACTCTAAGCTACTCAATGTTGTTCATCGAATATTGATAGCAGTATCCGAAATAACTACACTTTGTTTGCCCAACGCGAGCAGTAAAAAATGAAAAAAAAATCTATTAGTGTAGTCCTGCAACGTGGAACGCGTTTGTAGCCGGACTTGTTGTTTTCATTGCCTGGGTCTATTGCACATTGACAAAAAATTCATTTGAGTTGCCCCGTTCAAGGTAACTTTTGACTAGTCAGCGGAATATTTGAACGTCGTGGTGAAGATTAAGTCAATAGGGACTCATCGCAACATTTGACAGAATAAACTCCTAATGAAACTGGACCTAAAACAGTGCACTGGAAGCGGATACCGGAGAAAAGGAACGTTTATCGGCGTCATCTAAATGCGCACTCAGTTTAAGAGCACAAGTATTAGGAGGTTCATTCAAACAACAACTCGAGTTCTATCTCGCATCAGTTAGTTTGCAGTCGAGTCACTTATTCCACGTCACTGATTGCATTAATGAACAGTGAACACACCGCGGTAGCATGGTAAGAACACACTTTTCACAAACTGTGCTGTCGGTTACAGTTCTACGGTTTCGTGTTGCATTAACTCTCTTTCGGACACACGTTTTATAGGCGTTACAGACCACCAAACAAGCCGGCCTTTACCCTGTGCTCGTGTAATGTTTCGAAGAGTTGACACCGTTTACAGGAGCTATGTTTGGAATCTAAGTTCCAAATCTTGAGCCTGAGAGTAAGACCACACTCAACATATTTGATAGATTGACAACGAAACTAGCACAACATACCTTTTTATCTGTGTGGTACTGACGAAATGTATATTCCGCATCCAAGCAGGACACTTGGCTGGAATTTGTTCCTCAGGGTTCGAAGCAAAAGTGTCTGTTTGCTTGCTAGATAGATTTTTGCGCAAAACAGCTGAGCTCAAAATACTGAGGTAGAAGCAGGTCCTCCATATATAAAATATCTTTCTGGCCACTGGCATAGCTGATGAGGTTGAAACTCTGTGGTTCGACATAACCAACATCCATGATCAGTTAGCCATCTTAATGTCAGTATGTTTCCGCTTCGTTGCACCAGCATTATGCAGCTGTATTTGAATAGTTGGAGATGGGACGTGCTAAGGTCTTGTTTAAATGTATGAAAGAGATGTAGCCATCTGATTTTTTGTGTCATCGCTTCCTTCAGAACGCCTTCGTCAGATCCTGGGAGGCTTAAGCCACAAAAGAGATATCCCACAATATGAATATTTCGAAACACTGAGGTCTTTCACTTCGTAAGGATTGTTCTCAGTTTTGGAGTAAGAGAAATCTCTGTGTCCTGTCACACTTAAGAGAAAATCGGAAATATGATGAGACGTTCGTGAGCCCATTGAAAACATTAAGAGAACAGGCTGGTAGTTAAAGCAATTTCTTTTCCCTGAGGAGAGGTTTTTTGAGATAAATGATCTCATGGATGTCCTCCTTTTAGTCACAAGATTGTCTGTGAAATGGTTCACTGCACGAAATAATTACACCTCTGTTTTTTACAACAGGGTTGGTTTTGGGGCGAACCGAATATTTATAGACCTGAAGAATCATTTACCGTACGTTTGGGCAGGCAAGACCACCATGGGTGAATGCTAGTTGATCAAAAATTTACCAAAAGTTCACTTTTGTGACTCAGTTTTTGTAACACCTGTAAGCGACCTGCACATTTGCTTGAAATCGACAGGAGAACATCACTGTAGCATGTTTAGAGGAGAAAGTCAGGGAAGCGGGGTAATTCCCAGGATAGAAAAAGTTTGGTATGAAAGAGCGAAACAGCAGCCGGGATATTCTGTAAGGTCAGAACAGCACAGGAATGTTGTTTTGGGTATCTACGACTCACCGCGGATCATGTGAGTGGCCAGATAATGATTGAAGAAATTCTTTGCTGGAGACCCTCGACGCAGGTTCCATCGACTGGCTAAACTAATTCATTGTTTATATGGCTAGCAGTGAGTCAAATGACCGAGGTTCACTTACCAGTCTATCGTTAACGTGCAAGATACTTGGGTTTTCACTAAAATGATCAAAACTGGGAAATACAGACCAGCACAGGAAAGTAAGAAAAGTATTTGGAGGGTGAACTGCGATGATTCATTTGCGAATTACAAGCAGAGGGAATGATTAAGCTTTGCTTAGCATTTCAGATGGTCTTCTGTACCTAAAATTATATGGCTTGTGCGTAGAATATTTGATGAAGAATCTGGTTATTCAGTGTGAACTGATGTGTTTGCCACCGCAAGACGACCATAACTAAGGCTTCCATGGACACATTTTCAGCGAACACCATAAATGTGTGAGTAAGGTAGAGTAAGAAATGTGCTCCAAAAGGGAAACATCATTGTGGTTAGAAGGACTAAAACTTTCAATAGCACAGAGAAGCTGTTTTGTTCACGCTTATATGTACCACTCGGTCAACAACTAATGAATATGGCTCACTGATTTGGTATGTCTTCACTCATACGAATTTGAGCTGGAGGAGAGGTCAACTTAAGCTCCTGCCTCGAAAATCCAGCTTGTACAAGTAAGATACTCTGGACATTACTCTGTGAACCCATTACCGTATGAGCAGAGTAAGCCTCTTTGATGTCGGCAGTACAAGGAGATTCAGGAATTTTCACTGGAGATTTCATCCCTAAAGTTTGGCGGTAATTCTTGGCTTTCCAATATAAATTAGCACCAATTACAGAACGATATGTTAGAACGCTGGTCTCCGCCCGGACTACCTAAGAAATGGCAACTAAATAAACTAACTTAAGCGGTAATTCTCGGCTTTCCGATATAAATTAGCACCAATTACAGAACTATATGTTAGAACGCTGGTTTCCGTCCGGACTACCTAAGAAATGGCAACTAAATAAACTTAGCTTCGCACTATTTTGCAACTGCTTCGCAGTAGCGAACAATGCCGAAAAAAGCAAATTTCTTCAAGGAATTTCAGGAGAAACTGTTCGGCTCGGGTCAGAGATTCTTTCGCATTGGAGAAGCCATCAGACTTCTCATGAAGGTACAACAACTCGGAAGAATAACTAACCCCACCATGGGTGTGTATGTGTGCTTGACTGTTCAGGATTCCTTCAGTGGGACCTCATATGTACATATAGTGACTGACTTCAGGCAAAGCGACTGGATAACAATGATATCAGGCTTCAGTTAGAATGATTTTTGGGTCCATGCGGGAGACACCAGAAGTAAAATATCAAAAATTGGAATGGGAATAAGCAGAAAGCAGGATCAGTAGAAATATTGCTCACATAGCACTAATAACAAAGTTTGCTTGGTTCATACCCAGCGAAGCACGCCTGTGTATTGCTACTATACACTGACTGGAAGCCCACCTGAATACACCCTTGACGGTCAAAGATTCAAGGACATCATCTCCAATTGCAATAAAACCCCATAAAACCCAATAAAGGTGCCTTTGAGATCTATTCACATCACATTGGGTTCCACATGAAAGACATTTCCTTGTGTGATTTATTTAGATTTTTATCCACTCTGTACATGACACAACGTTTTATTAGTATTCTGTATTTATGTATTTTATTTGGACACTCGGCTAAGCATTTCATTCAATGACTGGGGTCTTGCAAAAGTACTCAAGTAGGCGGAATGTTTTTAGGAAACACAATGGACTATCAGTTCTCAGGCATTTCTGTTCACATTTAGCTCGAAAAAAACTGAGGATACGATCATGATGTCACTATTCCATTTCCTGTTGTAGCTGAATTGTTCCCTGTAGTTTGGGTTACCTTTTCTGTGAGTTTTCTCATGTAATCACGGCAACACCCGGTCAATGGTCCATTCAGCCTGGTCTACTTGACTAACCGAACTAATATATTGCTTGCAGCAAACCACTCGGCAGCCTCAGTGAGTTATATATGCCTCGTTTAAGCTGATGCTTACTTCCCCTTCTCAGTCTCCGTGACCATATGTGGTATCCAGACTATGGGGTCATTTTTGTTTCCTAGGTGCAATCACTCGATTTGGCCTTCCATCATTCAGTGGTTCGAAAATTCATATCTCAGTGAACCACGTAGATCACGTGACCATCTCAGTGGCATATCGCTGCCTAATGATCTCATTCCTGTCGACGCCAAAGATCGGAGACTTCTAGTGGACTGTTAGAAACTCGAATTAAACCAATTCAGTTTTGAAGTTCTTCAATTTTAATGTATATAGAGCTCGCGAAATACTCGAGATCAGGTACTTTCACTAATGAGTTTCTGTTAGCAGTAAATTGCTTACAGGTCAGTGACTATAATTGTTTTCGCCTTGATTTTGAAATGTGGAAAGGAAATACAAAGATTCACATCTGAACATCCATGAACAGTCCACACAAACTAAAAAATCGTGCTTGAGGATACAGTTTATGAATTTGCCAGTGGACTGTTTGCTGGATGCACTTTAGGTTACCAAACGTTC